CCGACCCGGCTCCAACCCCAGCGAGAGCTCCGGGTCAGTCCTGCCCGCCGGACCACTCTGCACCCACCCGGCCCGGAGCGGATGCCCGGCCGCCTTCCCCGATGGCCTCCCCGCCTCTGCTGCAGCCAAAAGCCCCGAGAGCCGTCGACTGCCTTGACGAGGCCGCCTGCGATCTTCCTAGGGAGGAAAAGGCGGCAGCAGCCGTGGCCTCTGGCCTCCCCCAGGCGATCGCGGGTGGGACCGGGGCGATCGCTGAGAAGGCGCCTGCACTGCCCACCCTTTACGTGCAGTTCCACGGAGAGACCACCCGGCGCCTGGAGGCGGACGAGAAGCCATTGCAGATCCAAAATGACTACCTCTTTCAACTGGGATTTGGGGAGTTGTGGAGGGTGCAGGAGGAAGGCATGGACTCAGAGATCGGTTGCCTCATTCGCTTCTATGCAGGTAAGGAAACCACCTGCACTTGGACGTGTTGGGTGTCAACACTTTCAGGTCCCGAAAAAGGAGTCAAGTCGGTGTGTGTTGGCCAGTAAACGCTGGACCTCGGCGCTCTTTGTTATTTCTTTACAGCGTTCACGGTGGTAATCTGTGTAATACTCCGTTGAGCAATTGTTCAGTGCGCGGGTCTGGCCAATCTGAGGGCTCAGAGGTTGGGAAGCCCTGTGGAGGAGGTGGCAGAGCCACCAGGAAGTGCTGCAAGCAGACTCCTGACAGGGGCGGTAGTACATGTAACAATGAACCTGTTGGGTTTTGTGGCAGTTTGGGATTTCAGGTAAACTGTCACGTGCATTTAATACCGATAGAGGAAAATGGCCAACAGAAATGCTCAAATACACTCTCTCTACATTGTCCGCTGTTGGCCATTTTAGGCGCCATAGATCCCCCAGGAGCTCCTTACTCCTCAACTGGTGCACGTTCAGCTCTCTGCCCTGTTCCTATGCCCACTTAGTCCTCCTTAGAAACTTCACAGATGGGATCCTTTAGTGATACTTCCCCCCAGTGCTTTGATGCTTTATTACAGTTTCCTCTGCAAGTTTGATTCTTGCATCAAAAACAATTTTGTCTATTTATTTCCTGTTTCCTTCATTTCTTTCTTACAACCTTTATAGCCAGAACTGACCATTGCAGTGTGATTTGCAATTGAGATTAGAGTAAGACTTTAAGTGGTTAATATCTCAAAAATCCTCCTCGTTCTTTTTTCAGTTCTAGGTTAAATTTTTTTAAAAATATTCTACTCTTTACTTATTCCAGCTTTATTGAGATATAATTGACATATCAAATTCTTGACTAAGGGTGACTAATATTTCTCCTTTGGTTAAAGACTTGACCAGTAATAAATTAGGGAGCCATAGATCCTGGTTGTTATATTTGAGCTTTATAAGTTGTTTGCATCCTTTTCTCCTTCTGGTTTGAAGAATTAATTATGTTCTTAGTGATAAGGAATTTTAAAAAGTTAGCATAACAATATTAAATCAGGAAAGTTAAATCTTCCCCAACTTTATTATTCTAGGTTGTGGAAAAATAATCATACTTGTAACTAATCAGTAGCCATTTGTGCTATTTAATTATTTCTGGTCCAACTTGTGTCAGTTCAGTCAGTTTGAATGAAGAAAGAAATCTTTATCCCACATTGAAATATGCACGACCAGTAACATTCCTGTTATGCTCCTCTGAGTTTCATTGAAGTTTTTCTGTAATTTAAGTGGATTTCTGATAGATTTTTGCCTTATAAAGAAAACCATGTCACAATATAATAGTATTTGCTGTTTCTGAAGATAAGATCCCAACTGGATGACATACCTTTAAAGTTTATGGGGCCTGGAAAATAGGTGGCTTTATTTGTTATGTGTGC